ATATATTTGGGGTGGGGGTGAGTGAAGGAAGCTGTCAAACAAAAAGGACCAACTTTAAACAGTGGACACCAGTTTAGGTTTCTAGTTAACCCTATCCACAACCTGCAATGCATCTTGGATTCTTCTTCCCTTCTTCCCTAATGATTTTACATCCACTTCAAAACATATGACTGGAACTCTTCTCACATTGGACCAGCTGGTCAACACCTAACCAAAATCATCTACAGAAAGGATGTGTGGATCAGTGATTTATTCAACTCTAGCCACACTTTCAATATCACTGTCTCAACAAGAACGTAAAAACCTGCAACTCACAACCAAGTCTAAGGGATAAAATATCTGTCAGGAACAAAAAAGAGATCCAGTTGTCTTCTGTTAAAATTTTAGGGTGGTCCTGTTCTGGATCAGTCTACTTGAACACTCTGTAGGTCTCCTAACATCCTCTGCCCACACCAAACTGTTTCATTTCTCATTCAAATGTATTTTCAACCCATAGAAACTCATAGATCTAAGGCATCTGTTAAAGTTTATGTCAGGTGGGGAGTTGGTGGTGTGTGTGTGTGTGTGTGTGTGTGTGTGTGTGTGTGTGTGTGTGGGGGGGTGTCAAACCTATCATCATGAGAACCATGATCCCATAACCCTTGTATTTGTCCTGATGGTTCTTAATGCCATGTCTCTTTGCTCTGTAGTCTTATTTGTATTTACTTAATACTCATTTTGACTTTTGTTCCATGCTCCCTGAAGGACACATCTGGACCGCCGTTTTTTGCAGATTTTGATAAAATGGTGAGTTAGGTTATGATATTTATTCTAACACACAAACATTAAAGTTAACATAATTATTTATCCCTGTTCAACTTTGTTTTTTATGTTTAACAATTTTAAATAAAATAAAACTACCTGATTTAAGACTAAACCAGGATTTAATTATGATTTTGTAACATTAGGGTGGGAGTGTGATGGCGTGAAGATGGTAAATGGACTGCACTTATAAAGCTCCTTTCTATCTCTTCAAAATACTCAAAGCCCTTTACAACACAACCTGTGCCCTCATTTACCCATTCATACAGCTCTCTACTAGATCTCTACAAACAATCAGTGCTTTATCACATTCATACACTGATGGGACACACATCAGAGGCAATGAGGGGTTCAGTGTCTTACCCAGGGACACTTTGGCATGTGACTGTTTGTGGAATTGAACACCAAACTCTTGCATTGGAGGACAACTGCTCTAACCACTCAGCCACAGCTGCCCCTGTGAGGGTGAGGGGAGTCAGCAGTTCAGAGTGGAAGTCAGTTGTATCTGGTTTACAGATGAACCAGGATTTACTCAGATGCATATGTTGATATCCGGATGATTTATCCGGAGGTAAAACAGCTGACTTTATTGAACTGATTCCTATTCTTCTTGAGATTCACCCATCTGTTTATACTGTAATCATTCATACTGGTATGAATGATGTAATGTCCAGACAGTCCCAAAAACTCCAATATGAGCTTGAATCATTGGCCACTACAGTAGAGAGTCTGGGGAAACAGTGTATTTTGTCCGGTCCCATTCCCTCCATGACTAGAAGCTCTGAATGTTTCAGTCGTCTTTTCAGTTTACACTTGTGGTTGAAGAGCTTTTCTGATGCTACTGGAATGGGTTTCATTCCACATTTTGACTCCCTTTGGACTAGATGAGATCTTTTTAGACAGGATGGTCTGCATCCTAACAGAATGGGAACAGAGATCTTGATGCATAATTTCATCCATTTTATTGCATTTGGTCTTAATTGATGTTTTTCACAGTATGACCCTGCTCAGTTTTATGCTCCGTGTTCTAGCCCTGTTTCATATATGGGGGTCCTGCTGCACTTGCGCCAATTTTTTCCTTATGTTCCAACATTCCAGTCAGAGTTACTGAAAGAAAGTGTTTATGCTGTGTTTGCTCTGACCATCATATGAGTTACAGATGTTGTAGAACCTTCAGGAGGGCATCGTCTGCTTTAATTACTGTAAATCCTGTTCTTGCTTCCTATCATAGTAGCCCACTGATAAATGCTGGTTTATGGAATGTCAGGTCTATTTCCAATAAGTCTTTTTTAGTTAATGATTTTATTTCCTCTTATGATCTTGATTTGATGTTTTTAATGGAGACCTGGGCTGATATTGATGCCCCTCTAATTGAGGCCTGTCCTCCTGGATTTTCTTTCCTTAATTCTCCCAGACTATCTGGTCGTGGTGGAGAGGTTGCAGTTATTCTTAAAAATTGCAACAAATGTACACCTATAACTATGGGCAATTTTAATACTTTTGAACTTTGAACATTTTATGCCTGCAAATGCTCTGTTCTTATTGGTTTATTATATCGCCCCCCTGGCCCTAAAGGTGAATTCTTAACTGAACGTGGCAATCTTCTCTCTATCGCTACTGTTAACTATGAGAAAGTAATTCTACTTGGTGATTTCAACATTCATATTGATGATCATAATGATAGATTTGCATACGAGTTCCTTGATCTTATTCATACCTTTGACTGTACTCAGCATGTCTCTGGTCCAACACATGAACATGGTCATACTCTTGATTTAATTATTATTTCAGGTCTCAGCATAGTCAATCTCTCCATTATTAATACACATATCTCTGACCATGATGCTATTTTATTTAGCTTTCCTTTAGCTGTTGAGACCTCAAACAACCAAGCCCCATGTCGGTTTAGACCTATCACATCTCAGACTGTGGAATAATTTTATGAAATCTTATCAAGGTTATCCTCAGCTTCAACAGTCAAATTCATCTCTCTCTACAGATGATCTGGCAACAGAATTCTTAAGCAGATGTGCAGCATCACTGGACATTGTGGCCCCTTTTAAGATGTCTAAATCCCACTCTGCTTTGTCCAAACTAGCACCTTGGATAAATGATCGCGTTCGATCCATCAGGTGGGCATGTAGATGTGCTGAGCGGAAATACAAATCTCACCATTTGAGCTGCGACTTTTTTACTATGAAAAATCTTTTGAAAGATTATAACAGAGTGGTTAAAGAAGAAAGATCTAAATATTTCTCAGCCATCATTGCTTCAAATTTGTATAATCCAAAACTTTTATTCAACACTATAAGCTCTTCTTTTTTAGATGTTTAACCAACAACATTTTTTAAAGATATTTGTCACTTTTTAATTCCTGATATTCTAACAGTTTTTAACAAATAGTTATCTACAGGGGTAGTTCCCAAAATGTTTAAAACTGCTGCTGTTGAACCATTATTGAAGAAACCCAACCTGGATTGTAACGATCTTAACAACTTTAGGCCGATCTCTAAATTACCCTTTACTGTGAAAATTTTAGAGAAAGTGGCGTACTCTCAGATCTTAACTTAAACAAAAACTCACTTTTTGAAAAGTTTCAGTCTGGTTTTCGTCAGTAACACAGTACAGAAACTGCATTATTAAAAGTTGTGAATGATATTAGGATGAACTCAGATGCTGGCTGTTGTACTGTCTTAGTGCTCCTCGATGTTTCTGCTGCGTTTGATACAGTTGATCATAATGTTCTACTGAGCCGACTAAATTATTGGCTAGATGTTAGAGACATTGATTTGAGGTGGTTCAAATCTTATCTTCATGACATAACTTTTTCGGTAATTTCTGGCAATAATTCCTCCAATTCAGCTTCTCTCACCTGTGGTGTCCCCCAAGGGTCTATTCTTGGGCCACTATTATTTTCTACTTATATGCTACCACTTGGTCAGGTTATTCATAAATTCATTGTTTCTTTTCATTTTTATGCACACGATTCCCAGATTTATTTGGCTATTAATCTATTAGACCTCTCCACACTCAATAAACTTTGTTTCTGCCTTACAGACATCAAAACCTGGATGTCTGATCATTTTCTTTCACTCAACAACGATAAAACTAAGGTGATGGTTTTTGGCCCCAAGGCCAAAAGGGATTTATTAGTTCAGTCCCTTTCTGTTCCTAGTTTTAACTGCACTCGTGAAACCAGAAATTTGGGGGTAACCTTTGATTCTGATCTTGGTTTTTCTAAACATTTTAAGAACATAACTAAAACAGCATTTTTTCAAATTAAGAATATTGCCAAAATCAGAGCATTTATCTCTTTAACTGATGCAGAAATGCCTTTGTCTCTCGTCATCTTGATTATTGTAACTGTTTATTTTCTGGTCTGCCCCAAAGTTCTCTTAATTGCTTTCAACTAGTACAAAACACTGCAGCTAGAGTTCTCACAAGATCCCATAAATATCAGCACATCACTCAAGTTCTGTCCTCATTGCATTGGCTCCCTGTGGTTTTTAGAATTAACTTTGAAATTTTGTTTTTTTAAATCCCTGAATGGTCTTGTGCCATCATATCTATCTGAGCTTCTTACCCCCTACATCCCTTCTTGCAATCTCAGATCCTTAAATCTGTTCTTACTTTCCACTCCCAGAACTCGACTGGTGACAAAAGGAGGTTTTATGGTCAGGGCTTCTGATTTGTGGAATGCTCTTCCTTTAATTAATAGACAGGCCTGTTCATTGTCTTCTTTTAAATCATTAGTTAAAACCTATTTGTTTAATAAGGCTTTTAATATCTGAATTTCTTTCTTTTTTATGTTATTTTAGTTGATTTGGTATACTTTTGTGTTTCTGATGTCATTTATGATGTTTTAATTGATTAATGTGAAGCACTTTGTAACATTTGTTTGAAAGGTGCTCTACAAATAAAGTATTATTATTATTATTATTATTATTATTATTATTATTGTTATGAGTTAAATCTCAGAGAAACTTAATTTTATTTTATTTTTTTTTAATCGAAAGAGCAAAGGTAAAAGTGAGTTGACTGAAACTCCTGAAGCATCAGAGACACAATCGGCCGAGAAACGAGAAGAACCTTCAATGCTGCCTGCCGCAGCAGAGGAGTCTAAGAGTTGTCTTGTTCCTGCTGGAGGCGATCGACCAGCGGACGACCAAGCTTCTCAGGATGCTGAAGAACATGAAGCTCCTTTTGATGACGAAGAGGAGAAACCAAAGTCTTCAGATAACCTGAAAGAGAAGCTAGATGTGAGTACTCTGATTATCTTTATTATTTTCTCAGAACAATAAATCTGATGTGTTTGAAACAAACCATAACTGAATGTAACCTAAATAAATTTCTGTAAATGATCCTAACTGAAAAATAACTGGCATTAACTGTCTGTACCACATTCCCTATTTTCCTGGACAGTGGACCCCAAGTCCTTGAAGTCCTGCACCTTTGTGACCTCTGCTCCTTGTAGCCTCACTGTTCCACCTCCTCCCTCTCATTCACACACATGTACTCTATCTTACTACGGCTGACTTTCATTCCTCTTCTTTCAAGTGCATACCTCCACCTCTCCAAGTTCTCTTCTACCTATTCCCTGTTCTCACCATAGATCACAATATCATCTGCAAACATCATAGTCCATGGGGATTCCTGCCTGACTTTTTTTTTTCATTCAACATTTATTTATACAGGCTAGTCTCATTGAGCCATGAGGACTCATTTACAAGAGGGACCTGCTCCAGACAGAACATATAAAGTTCAAACAACCATAACGATTAAAGCTGCAAGCAGCATTGAAGGCCCTCGCAGCAAAGTCCCGCTCCAGCCTTACGGCGACCACGGGAGCTCAAGCAATGACTCCCAGTCGCCATCGTGAATGCTCTCATGCGATTCTCACATGCGTCCACCAGGGTGCGCATAAACAGAATCTTTGCAATCACCTTCCGCCCATATCAGTATGAGTCTGGCTGCAAACCTTACGAGTTTGGCTAAAATCTGACCTTCCAGACGGGAGTTATTGTCACTTCCTGTTTTGTCGCGAATGTAAAGGACTTCCTTTAGGCTTTTCAACATGTCATATGTGGTAATCAACAGCTAGCGAATACGGTTTCAACATCTTACACAGTGCCAAGCTAGAAGAGTCATCCAATAATCAGTTTCTTCTCTGAGTGGGCTAGGCTTAAGTCAAGTCATGAACCAACAATGTTAATGTGTCTGTGTTTAAGTGTGCACTGATGAAGCACAAAAAATTCTGGTCTAGATCAGATGATGTATCTCTGAGATATAACTGTTAGAATAATCTAGGGGGCGCACTGGAGTGAAATGTTAAACAACAAACCATGCACATAAAATATGGTACAGATCGGATGATGTATCACTGACATTTAACTGTTGGATGAATCTAGGGGGCGCAATTGAGTCATATGTTAAACTACAATATCAATGTTGCTACAAGTGTTCATTGATTACATACAATAAATGTGGCGTATATCGGAAGATGTATCACTGAGATATAACTGTTGGAATAATCTAGGGGCGCACTGGAGTCAAATGTTAAATAACATTAAAAATGTGTGTACAAGTGCTCACTGATTATGTTCAAAAAAATCTGGTGCAGATCAGATGATGTATCACTGAGATATAACTTTTGGAATAATCTAGGGGGCACACTGGAGTCAAATGTTAAAGAACATTAAAAATGTGTGTACAAGTGCTCACTGATTATGCACCAAAAATCTGGTGCACTGAGATATAACTTTTGAAATAATGTAGGGGGCACAATGGAGTCAAATGTTAAAGAACAATACCAATGTGTATAGAAGTGCTCACGATCATGCACAATAAATCTGGTACTGTATATATTGGATATTTCACTGAGATAAAACTGTTGGAATAATCTAGGGGGCGCACTGGAGTCAAAAGTTAAACAACAATACCAATGTGTCTAGAAGTGCTCACTAATGACGCACCAAAAATCTGGTACAGATTGGATGATGTGTCACTTATGCCCCTTTTCCATTAGTACCGGTACGGGCCGACTGGACCCTACTTGGCCCGGTTCTGAGGCTTTTCCATTAGTACCGGTACTTAGCACCTGTTACTATTTTCAGTACCCTT